TGCATTCTTTTTATTTTTTTCATTGGGAATTTTTTTGGTTTTCCTCCATAATTTAAAGCTTTTTTAGTTTTAAGTAGAAACACATCATTTTAATCTTTGCAATTCCTTTTCTTTAATCATATTGTTTTTTAAATTGATTTTTTTTCCTTCAACATGTCTCCGAAAAGTTATTCATACATTACATATTTGTAAAAAAAAAATCATCATATTGTAAATCACTTTTAGTATTTTCTTTTGTAAAAAAATATTTTTAATGTTCAAATTGAGCAGATCACCATGCACTCACTTTCTATTTTGTTCCTTTGGGATTTTCGTTGGGTTTTCCCTTTATTTTAAAGCTTTTTTAAATATCAACACATCTTTTTAATCCTTCTACTTCCTATTTTTAACGATGTTTCTTAAAAACTTGAGTTTTTTTTATTTAGTTTAAATATGTTTTTAAAATGCTCTTAATAGATTATATTTTTCATGATATCATTCTTAGAAATGTTGATCATATATTTATAAAACATATTATTTTCTTTTTAAAAAATATTTTTCATGTTGGATATGAGAAAATCACCGTGCACTCACTCCCGTCATTGCATCTTTTCTATTATTTTCTTTGGTATTTTTGTTGGGTTTTCTCCTTGTTTTGAAGCTTTTTAAATATAAGCACCTTTTTTAATCCCTCCACTTTCTATTTTTAACCATATTTTTTTAAAACTTGAGTTTTTTTTTATTTTGCTTAAATATGTTTTCAAAAAGTTCTTGATGCATTATTTGTTTCTTGATATGTTTGTCAATTTTTTTTAATAAAAGTCATAATTTCTTTGCAATGTTAATCATATATTCATAAAAATGCATCATATTAGAAAACATTTGCTGTATTTTCTTTTTTACAAAAGATTTTTGACATGGGACTTGAGAAAAGTAACATGCACTCACTCTGGTCATTGCATTCTTTCTATTTTTTTCCTTTGAATTTTTGTTGGGTTGTCCCATTATTTTGAAGCTTTTTAAAATATAAATACATCTTTTAATTCGTCCACTTCCTATTTTTGACCATATTTTTTTAGAAAATTGAGTTTTTTTTTGAAAATTTCTTGACACATTATATTTTTCTTGATATCTTTCCTAATTTTTAAATAAAAGATACCATTTCTTAGCTATGTTAATGATATTCTCATAAAAAATGCTTCATATTGTAAAACATTTACCGTATTTTCTTTTTTTAACTAATATTTTTGATGTCGGACTTGAGGAAAGCAACATGCATTCACTCCGATTATTGCATTCTTTCTTTTTTATTCCTTAGGATTTTTGTTTCTTTTTTCCCATTGTTTTGAAGCATTTTTTGCACTTCTTATTTTTTATCCATATTTTTTGTTTAAACTTCATTTTTTTATATAACTTAAATATGTCTTCAAAGTATGCTCAATGTTTTGTATTTTTCTTACTATATTTCTCAATTTTTGAATAAAAATTGTTAGTCATATATTCATAAGAATTTCATCATACTATATAACATTTGCAGTAATTTCTGTTTTAAAAAATATTTTTGATATTGGACTTGGGAAAACTACCATGCATTCACTTCTCTCATGCATCCTTTCTATTTTATTCCTTGGCATTTTTGTAGAGTTTTCCCATTATTTTGAATCCTTTTTAAATATAGACACATCTTTTTAATCCGTCCACTTCCTATTTTTTTTTCCTTTTTTTTTAAACTTGAGTTTTTCACTTAGTTTAAATATATTTTATAAAAGTTCTTGATACATTATATTTTTCTCGTGTTTTTCTTTTGCTTTTTGTTGATCATTTTCTTACATTATGAAGGATTTTTTTTTAAATTTTAAGCACAACTTTTTAATCTTTCTACTTTCTATAAATGCACTTGATGCTTTTTATAAATAAAAGGGGGGGAGCATCCTCCTCCTAAAATAGGCCCTTGGCTCATGTTTGTGGCTATAGGAATGCTTTAGAGAGGGTTAGAACACCTTGTAAAGGTCATAGGATGAGGATGTAGAGGTTCTGTCCATGTCCATTCAGGGAATAAAGAAGGCTCAAACTATGGTTGGACATGAGCAGAGGTGGCAGCCTCTATTCGTGTGCGACCATTGGTGGATGTGGAAGACACATGAATGATTATCAATGAACATTGTCATAATAAGTCACTATATGATGTCTTAAATAGTATTTTAAAGTCTTAAATCATTCCAAATCATCCCCCACTTCTGAAATTCCTCTCTTTGCTAGAGTTTAAAGTTCTTAAGCGTTTGAGGTAAGGGTGAGCAAATGACCCGCAACTTACTCATTCCTGATAGTGCCCGCCTGTTTGTAGAATAAAACGAGAAGGCTAAAGATAGGCGCTAGCCTGCTACTAATGACAAAGAGTGGGGAGGCCATTGGGCTAGCTTGTTCTTGCTTGTCAATGTATGTGTATTTTTTATTCTCTTTAATTGTAATTGTGGTGCATTGTATTTTGTTATATGAAATGGTGAAACCCTTAAACTTATTTTTTGTTCATCTCCCCTTTCATTCCTCAATCTATTCTCTCTGCCCAACTACTTGCCTCTTGTTTCTCTTTACTTATCCAAAGTTGAATTGTCTTTCTCATTGTTGTTGTTTTGTCGTTCACCTTTTGCTCCTATCCCAAATCTTTAAGTTCCAATCTCGAGCTAGGTCTTGACATCTCTCATTACTCCCCTAGAGTCTCGTCTCTCATGCTCTCTCTCTTGCTCACTTATCTCGTCAAGTTATTCTTGGCTTATGGATCTGACCCTTATGATCTTGTTATACTATGATTCAAAAATATCCTTTCCTCCTCTTTGAGTAATTTGGCTTGGTCTTTTTTGGTTTCTTTTGATTTATTAAATAAAATTTATCATTTTGTTTGAATTTTTCTTGTTTTTTGATAGTTTTTGAGATTATCTAGATGATATATTAGCAGTGATTATCCATAGATTATCTATAGTTTATTATGAAAGATGCATTCTCTTCCACCTTTATGTTTCTTTATATGGGTAGCCCTGACCCATTTTAACTTGTACAGGCTAGCCCCACCTCTTTTCAAAATGGGCTAAAATGGGTCTGTATAGGTACCGATGGGGTAAGATTGTTTTGATCTTATACGAGAATCGGGATGAGCTACACAGGCAATGCTTTAGGCTATCCTATCACACCCATTGCTCAATCCAAGCTTTTAGTAATTTGGAGACTTTAGATCACTTGCAAACTTTTTTTTTTACATTTCTTTGTATGGGTAGTCCTGACCCATTTTAACTTGTATGAGCAAGCCCTACCTATTTTTAAAATGGGCCCGTACGGGTGCTAGCGGGGCTAGATCACTTCTTTCCCCATTTTCCTAATTGTCCTACATATTTCATTTATTAGAGCTGTGGATTTTAGTTTAGAAGGTTACAATTGATCTAATTTAGGATTGGAATTTAGGATTTTTTCTAATTTTATAAACCCTAGAAAACTTAATTTAGATAATATATTATTAGATTCAAGATTACCCAAGGCCATAGCTCTACATACTTGGGATTTTGGGGAACTTGGGATTAATTTTAGGCTAACCGAGAATTTAAATATATTAATTAATTAGAAGTCATGAGGCAAGAAATGTAAGTTTGAGACCTAATATATTATTTCAATAAACATAATTAGATTTGAGTCACACTTGATGACCTTGAATGATAAGAAGCTAATGGAGATGTTTGAGATTAGGAATTACTTATAGCTACTGAACGGATCTTTAACTATTTGAGATATGATGAATTGTAGGGGTTCTAGTTCAACTTTGGGTTTGACTTGTCTATTTAATAGTCTTGGATTCAGTAGGGACTTGGTGGAGAGTAAATTTACTTTTATAGAATTCTTGACTAGTTTAAGATTGATTACTATTAATTCAGTAAGGACCATACAGAACTAATGAATATGTTATATTGTGAAATTGTGGTTGTGCAGGATTGAACATGGAATGAAATTGATGAATCTGTATTGAGAAACTAGCCTATACATGTGATTAATATAACTAGGTTGATTGTGTTTGTCATCATGCTTATATCAAATTATAAATTGCATGATATGGGGCGTTGAAGGTATTGTGCTTATGATCACACTCTCGCTTTCAAAAGGAGCACATTGGGTGGTGTCTATATGCTTAATTTGTCTAGGTCCTCTTTCTAGGGTCAGGCTAAGTTTAGTACTATTTTTAGACATCCTAAGTGTTCAAAAAGAGGTAGGTTAGTTAATTAATCATGTGCTTATTTGGAAACCAATGATGTTATGCTCCATTATTGCTACTACCCTTAGCACCCTTGCATTGTTATTTGCCCCGTGGACTTTATAGGAATGCGAGATGTATTGATCTTTGCATATTTCTTTATTTATTTATGTAATGTTTGCTTACAAGTGTGTTAAAATAGGTAGAGCCTACAAAAGTTGAGTGATATAACTATTTTCAAAATTGCCTACTATTTTGCATGATAGGGAATAATACATAAATATGTGTCTTTGAATGTGTGTAATCCTTTTCTACTATTGATAGGCTTGCACAAGGGGTGTATTTCATTTCTATCATAGTAAATGTGTGAATTTGATGTTGATTGATGATATATACATTAGCTTTTTCAATTATGGTGGCCTTATCTACAAGCTATTAAAGTCGTTCAAGCTTGATCAGTATGGTCTTCAAGCTACTTTTGCTGAACAATATGTGACCTTCAAAATTCTTTAGCTGCATGGTAATTGTTAGAATTGGGAACCTTGTGAGTAATGATTAATGAAATATGATATGTGCTTTCAACTGTGCATTAGTAACCATTAGAATCAAGAACCTTGTTAGTGTTGATTGTTGCATGATGTTTATTTTTATTACTCTAATATATTAGAATATTATTGATTGGAACACAGAAACGCACTAAATTGGGAAGTTTAATGGCCATGGATACTCCATAACCTTAAACATTGTTATTGAGACAAGATGTCTCACTTCTTTCACTAATATTTTTCAGGGAATATAAGTGGTGTTGCAAAAAAGGAATCGGCATTAAGAAACCAGGCTTTGTAAAAAGTATAGTTCTATGTTGGACATTGTTGCTACCACCCTTAGGACCCTTTGTATTGTTATTTGCCCTTTTACTTTAGATTAGGTTGATCACTGATTTGCTTTCTTGAGATGGTTCGACCATCGGATGCTTTGGCTAGGAGACTTTATGTGAATGCGAGTTGTATTGATCTTGGCATATTTCTTTATTTATTTATGTTGTGTTAGTTTTAGAATTTTGGAATTAGCTTATTGATTGATAAAGTAGGAGTAAAACTCTACTTAGGATTTGCTTACAAGTGTGTTAAAGTAGGTAGAGACTATAAAGGTTGAGTGATATAACTATTTTGGGAATTGCCTACTTTTTTGCATGATAGAGAATAATACATAAATATAAATGTGTCTTTAAAGTGTGTGTAATCTTTTTCTACTATTGATAGGCTTACATAAGGGGTTCATTCCATTCTTGTCGTAGTAAACATGAAAATTTGATATTGATTGATAACATATATATTGGTTTTTCTATTATGGTAGCCTTTTCTACTAGCCAAAATTGTTCAAGCTTGATCAGTATGGTCTTCAAGCTACTTTTATTGAACAATATGTGAACCCTTAAAATTCCTCAGCCCTTGACAAACACTTGGAAATCTCAAGTCTATACACACCTTCATGTTAGAGCTATTTATTTAATCTTGATTTTCCATAGGGGAGAGAGGATTGCTATTATAACTAATGTTGCTTTGTTAGACAATGGCTACACCACTTACAACATTGCTTTGATAGGAACCCTATTGATAACTTTTAGCAGCAGGAGTACATTCTCACTATAGCTCTTGAAATCTTTAAGATTCTCACCAAGAAATAGATTAATCCTTTGGCAGGATTTTGACTATCATACTAGCCTATACTCAACTCAAGTGTGATTTGCCTATTGAGTATTTCATAGAGGAAGCTAAACCAGTCTTTATATCCTATATCAATGGTCACTTTATCTGGGACTATACCCCAAAATTGTGTAAATTCGGTTGTGATTGTGAATTCTGGGATGATCCGAACAGTAAAGAGGATCATTGGTTAGGTAGATGAAGGTTTTACCAAAAAGACTATGGACCTAAACAAACTCAGAGAAAATGTGTAGGACTTTTAAATCCTCACATGGAAAGAAATTCTCTTTTTGAACTTCTAAAGGAATTAGTTCATGAAAATCTTTTTCCATAGGAATGGCCTAACCTTGTTATGCCAACATTTTCAACTGTTAAAAGACAAGCTTTGCCTTGTATCACGATGATTATACTTTATAAAGAAGATTTTCCTCCTTTAAAATAAAAAAAATAAAGGTGAGTAGTAGCCCTTTTATTATAGTTACTAAAGTGATGCCACAAGGTGTAATGTCTCCTCGTCTAATAATAATTAACCTTTCAAACTCATAATAATCAATGGATTAACCCATTTAGGAGATTACCAAGTTTCAATTTACCAAGTTTTAATTTCAAATCAAGGAGTCTCAAGTTTTCATAATCAAAATGAGTTAAAATCATTCGTAAACTCTTATATCATAGTAAAAACGAGTTAAGGAAGCATGGGATATTTTAGAGGAGTGAAAGAAACAAAAAACAGTTGAAAAATAACTTATTTGATACAAAATATAGGGCAATATGCTGCGGCTAGTGTATACTGTGTCATGGCATGTTACTCTCTATGCCACACATCATGGCTTAAGCGCCAATGCGTCGTGGCGTGTTGCACATTTACTTGACAGCAAAATTAGGGAACTTTTGACAAACCTTGATTCTTCAACGGACGTCCGAATGACATGATCTAGGTGTTTATGAAAAGCTCTTCTCACAAACTAGCTAATGGCATGAGTGTTATTGTAACACTTGTTCTGAGTGTTATCCAAAAATCACCTAAGTTAAACAAACTAAGTATGATTAAGGAGTTGATCTTAAAACCAACTTAAAAAACATACTATTTAAAACACCAAACAATCTATACTATAGAAAAACACACATTTAAATTATTTTTTTTTAAGAAAAATCTGAAGAATTATGGTATAGTGCATGGAAGTAAATTAGGCAAACAGGGGCATTTAATTGCTATCATGATAGCATTAGTTTGCAGTCATGACAGCCCTCCTGGAAAAACTTTTGAGAGGCACCAATTCGTCATCTGACCTCTGATTGAAGTGATTTTAAAGCTCACACATCATTTCTAATGTGTATTAATAGATTTCCCAATTTTACCAAGATCCAACGGTCGGATTAAAATGTTGGCATATTATAAATTTGGACATTTTTGCTATCATGACAGCACTTCCAGACCAACTTTCAAAGTGTATTATCTGACCTCTGTTCAGAGTGATGCTAGAGCTCACTTGTCACTTTCAAAGATTAATACTAGTATACCAAATTCCAAAAAAAAATCTAATAGACGGATTAAAATTTATGTGTCACAACATCAACACTATTGTTGTCATGATAGCACCTCTATACCAAATTTTAGAGTGTACCGTTTCTCCGTCTGATATGAAATCGATGTAATTCTAAAGCCCACATGAAGGTTATAAAATTTTTTACTTGTAACCTAAATTTTAGAGAAATCCAATAGTCGGATTGAGATTTGGACACCCGGATGAAAAAATACAGTTTTTGGTAAAAAAAAACCATTTTCAAAATTGTTCAAATCTCATCCTAAGGGTAAAAAACTTGTGGGAACACTTTGGACATGTCAAATAAGATTAAGAGTACCTAATAGAACATTCAAATGATGAAAAAAACCACATACATCAAAATTTAACTACCCGGGTACCATTTCCCAAAATGAATCCTAAACCCCTAAAATGAGCAAATCATACAAGAGTGGTCAAAAATTAATTCAAACACCATGTATTTATATAAATGTACCTGCTAAATATTTTCACTTAGCTCAGAGATTTTTGTGGGGCCCACATACTCACTCTCTATCCAAGGTGTATGTTTTCCCTTAGCATATAATTCGCAATGCAACTACTTTGCAATTACATGTAGAATCATACATATTCATATATATATACACACACCAAAATAAACATTAGCTTATAATGAAAATTTGGTCTATCAAATGAATCTATCAAAACTACACACTATAATCAAGTTTCCTAAACATAAGTCTATAAGCGGAAAAAAATCATGCATAAGCATACAATCCACACATATTCACATATATGTATAGTCACATCCTACTGGCACCTTAATTCTAAATACATTACAATATACTTGCTTAAAAGAAAAAGGAATGATGTTCTTTACAAATCATAAGCAAACCACTAGCTTGGCTCTTTTTTCCGTCTATCACTGGATCCTTCGCTTGGACTTGTAAATATTAAAAAGAAAGGAGTGAGCTGACCATAGTCTCAGTAATAGAGAAATTTACATTGATTATTATAAAGTAAGCCATAATTGAATAAATGAATAATAGATTCAACATAGTATAATTTAACCATTTAAAATACATGAATGCATGATATAAGCCGGTATGGCATTTCCTGACCAACAAAATGCCCCCTGGTACTCTTTAACTTGCAAGTAAATTTTATACCCACTTGTACCTTTACAAGCACAAAACATAATCTAAGGCTTGATCTAATCCACTAAACCACCTATACCCCTTCGACATGAATTTGAGCAGTCAAAGCTAACTCCCTCCCAAAGCCAACCCGACTTACTCTCTGTAATATCCTCAATTTTAAATCAGGTTAACTAAGCTCAAATAGACTAATTAAGTGTATTAGTGAGGTATGTGTGGCTAGAGATGCCTAATGGGTGTGTTTGGTCTCAATTTTAGCTCTAAACGCGAGTTTGAAGGAGAATCGGGTCACTTGGCAATAGAAAAGGAAGAATTTCTAAAAAAAGTGATTCTGGGCCACACACTGTGGCTTGTGGATGATCCACCGCGGTGCATGTGACAACACATCTTGGAGAGGCTCTCTGTGCTATGTACCACGGCTCATTTTGCGTTCGCTACAACATATGGTCATATTTTTATTGTATTAAGTCACAAAACTGAAGCAAAAGAGAAGAGAAAAACTAAGGGAACTGAAAGAGAGATGAAAGAGTTGACTAAGGCTTGAAGAAAACGACTTATAGGAGTAAGTTAGAGCTCATAAACACTAATGATAAACTTCCTCATTTAAATCTTTTTTTCTTCCGTTTTTTAATTGATAATGGTGATTTTCAGTTGTGAACACCGTATTTTGTCAGGGCATTTTTTAAAAATAATAATAAATAATCCAAAAAATGTAAAAATACAAAAATAAAATTTAATATTTTTTTAGGATTATATTTTCAAAGTAAGCCATGGGGAGGATCCAAAGTCACAGACTCGTACAGGCAGAGTAATGGACGAGCGGGAGCGAAAAAAAAGACTGAGACGAAGAAAGAGATAGGAGCGAGAAACTGAAAAACAGCAGAGCATAAAAGAGGGAGAGAAGAGCCAGAGACGGGGAGGCAGTCGAGTTTTATCTTTTAAAAAAAGGAGAGACTGGGAAAGAGGAAGAAGAAAGGAAAAGGATGAGAGAGAGCAGTAGCCGAATGTAGGAGATGGGAGAGGCTTGAACAGAGGCGAAGAAGAGAAGATAACACAGCAACGAGAAAAAAGAATGAAAAAACAGAGCACTGGAAAACTGAAGAAGAGCACGAAATGAGAGGAAGAACAAAAAAAACTGGAGCACAGAAACAGGATGCACGCAAGAGGAAGATCTAGAGAGAGAGCACGAAAAAAAAACAAGAGCATGGAGGGGGAAGCAAAAAAAAACTCGACAGAAGTGGAAGAGAGAGAGGAAGAAGACAGAAAAGAAAAGAGGTCGCGAGACTAATGGAAAAAAAGAGAGAGGGCTGGACAGCATTTGAGTGAGATTCGAACAAAGACAGGAGGAGAGAGAGAGAGCAGTGGCAGAGATAGAAAAAAGAGAGGAGAAGGGGACCGAAGTAGAGAGCATGAAAAAAAAAGAAGAAACACAGCCATGCAAAGGGGGTGGGCACGTCAGAAATAGAGGAAAGGAGAAGAAAAACCATATGAAAGAAAATGAGAAAAACTGAGGATGAAGAATTTTTTGAAACTATCTCCCTAAGTCTGCCTCTCCTCTTCCTAATAAACATCTGGTAACATATTTTCTATCTTCACTAATGATTTTAGAATTATCCTGAATGTTCTGTTT